TTAGTTATGATAACTTCAGCTCCGAACTTGGTGAAGTGACTTGAAGGTATACTTGGGTGACTGCTACTGGAAGTCCGGGACGAGTAGTACCATGTGTGCCGAGTTTGGGCTCATTATGTTAGTTATGATGAGACCTTACCTCCGGACTTGACAGAATGACCTGATGGTATACGTTGGTGACTACTACTGCAACTCCTGGACGAGTAAAACTAGGTGTGCCGAGTTTGGGCTCGTTTTGTTAGTTATGACGAGATCTTACCTCCGGAATTGATGAGAGACCTGATGGTGTACTTCAGTGACTACTACTGGAACTCCTGGGCGAGTAGAACTAGGTGTGCCGAGTTAGGGCTCATTATGTTAGTTATGACGAGACCTTACCTCCGGACTTGACAGAATGACCTGATGTTGTACGTTGGTGACTACTACTGCAACTCCTGGACGAGTAGAACTAGGTGTGCCGATTTTGGGCTAGTTTTGTTAGTTATGACGAGATCTTACCTCCGGAATTGATGAGAGACCTGATGGTGTACTTCAGTGACTACTACTGGAACTCCTGGGCGAGTAGAACTAGGTGTGCAGAGTTAGGGCTCATTATGTTAGTTATGACGAAACCTTACCTCCGGACTTGATGGAGAGATCTGATGGTGTAATTTAGTGACTACTACTGGAACTCCTAGACGAGTAGAACTAGGTATGTCAAGTTTGGGCTCGTTTTGTTAGTTACGACGAGACCTTACCTCCGGACTTGACAGAATGACCTGATGGTGTGCGTTGGTGACTACTACTGCAACTCCTGGACGAGTAAAACTAGGTATGCGTAGTTTGGGCTCGTTTTGTTAGTTACGATGAGACCTTACCTCCGGACTTGATGGAGAGATCTGATGGTGTAATTTAGTGACTACTACTGCAACTCCTGGACGAGTAGAACTAGGTGTGCCAAGTTTGGGCTTGTTTTGTTAGTTACGACGACACCTTACCTCCGGACTTGACAGAATGACCTGATGTTGTACGTTGGTGACTACTACTGCAACTCCTAGACGAGTAGAACTAGGTGTGCCTATTTTGGGCTAGTTTTGTTAGTTATGACGAGATCTTACCTCCGGAATTGATGAGAGACCTGATGGTGTAATTTAGTGACTACTACTGGAACTCCTAGACGAGTAGAACTAGGTATGCCAAGTTTGGGCTCGTTTTGTTAGTTACGACGAGACCTTACCTCCGGACTTGACAGAATGACCTGATGGTGTGCGTTGGTGACTACTACTGCAACTCCTGGACGAGTAAAACTAGGTATGCGTAGTTTGGGCTCGTTTTGTTAGTTACGATGAGACCTTACCTCCGGACTTGATGGAGAGATCTGATGGTGTAATTTAGTGACTACTACTGGAACTCCTAGACGAGTAGAACTAGGTATGCCAAGTTTGGGCTTGTTTTGTTAGTTACGACGAGACCTTACCTCCGGACTTGACAGAATGACCTGATGGTGTACGTTGGTGACTACTACTGCAACTCCTGGACGAGTAGAAGTAGGCGTGCAGAGTTAGGGCTCATTATGTTAGTTATGACGAAACCTTACCTCCGGACTTAATGGAGAGACCTGATGGTGTAATTTAGTGACTACTACTGGAACTCCTAGACGAGTAGAACTAGGTATGCCAAGTTTGGGCTTGTTTTGTTAGTTACGACGAGACCTTACTTCCGGACTTGATAGAATGACCTGATGGTGTACGTTGGTGACTACTACTGCAACTCCTGGACGAGTAGACTGATGGTGTACTTCGTAACTCCTGGAAGAGTAGAACTGGGTGTGCCGAGTTTAGGCAGGTCGGAGAAAATATAAATGGTGTTACCAAATTCAAGGGCAACTGCGCATCATAACTAACAAACTCGGCACACCTAGTTCTACTCGTCCATGAGTTCCAGAAGTTAATCACTGAAGTACACCATCAGGGCTCTCCATCAAGTCCGGAGGTAAGATCTTGTCATAACTAATAAAACGAGCCCAAACACGGCACACCTAGTTCTACTCGTCCAGGAGTTGCAGTAGTAGTCACCAACGTACACCATCAGGTCATTCTGTCAAGTCCGGAGGTAAGATCTCGTCATAACTAACAAAACGAGCCCAAACACGGCACACCTAGTTCTACTCGTCCAGGAGTTGCAGTAGTAGTCACCAACGTACACCATCATGTCATTCTGTCAAGTCCGGAGGTAAGGTCTCGTCGTAACTAACAAAACGAGCCCAAACTTGGCATACCTAGTTCTACTCGTCCAGGAGTTCCACTAGCAGTTACCGAAGTACACCTTCAGGTCATTCCTTCAAGTCCGGAGGTAAGGTCTCGTCATAACTAACATAATGAGCCCAAACTCGGCACACCTAGTTCAACTCGTCGAGGAGTTCTAGTAGCATTCACCGTATACTTTCAGATCACTCCATAAAGTCCAAGACGAATAGGATTTATATATATTTATATATTATAAATCCCACTTGCTTTTAGCGAAACAAAACATTATAATACGAATTTATGATTATAAAAATATTTATATTATATATATGTATGTATTATTTTACTTTGTCAGGTCATGTACCTTTGTATCAAATTCGAATATTTTGTGTTTGTACAGCGATCTTTTTCAGCTGCTGCAGGCGATACAGCGACCACCCGCGATAGCGGCCGAGCGCCGACTGTGGTTTCATCGAAATTTTTGTACAACAAATCAAAACAGACACTAAAAATAAAATAACCCTTATTGCAATCCATTAGGATTCATCCGTATCAGCAAAATATGTCAAAAAATAAGCATCAGTTTTTATTTTTTTTACGACCATTTGTGACATTTTCATAAAAAGTAATCACCAGCATTTTTTATTGAATATGTCTGCCTACTTACAGTATTTTTAGAAATCTTAATATATGTTGATAATAGAACAAAAGATGTACCGAAATATGAGCCGGTATCGTTAATTTTGTAGTAAATGGCTAGGGAAGATCCTTTTTACAATGTAAAAACCTATTATTTTCAACAAAAAAGTTACCACCATTTGAAGATAAAGAACCATTCTATACGTTGTGGTTATTAGTTATATTTGATTTGGTTTAATTTTGTCACAAAATGTACCGAAAAACAGCATAATTTGGCTCGATTTGCAAACGCACCCTTAATGAAAGGGCTGTTAGTCGTGCGCATTTAATTATAATATTTCGAAATTTTATACATCAATTAATTTATAAAGTTTTTTTTTGCAATTATTAAATAATTAGATTTAAGTATTTCAATTAAAATAATTAAGAATTAAGTTATTATAAATTTATATATGTAAATAATAAGTGTTCTGCATAAGCAAAAATGCCTAATAGTTGTACAGTATGCATGAATAATACTAGAGAAAATAAGGATATTTCCTTTTTTTTTAATCCGAGAGATCAAGTGAAGTAAGTACCTTTTTACGTAATATACGTTATATATACACTATATTTTATTTTAATTTTTTCCTTATTGTTTAAAATTAATCGATACGAAACAGATCTTGATTTCGAACAATTAATAGATATTATGTTGTTTCATTATGTAATATAAATAATAATTAATACGCATGCTGTTTTATACACTATATAATACTTTAATTTTTTCCTTATTGTTTAAAATTAATCGATACGCGAAACACCTCTTGATTTCGAATAATTAATAGATATTATGTTGTTACATTATGTAATATAAATAATAATTAATACGCATGCTGTTTTATACACTTTAATTTTTTCCTTATGCTATAAAATATTTTTATTTTTTCTTAAATTTTTCACATGCATCATGTGACAACCCTATCAGAATAGGTATACATTTTCGACGTTGTTAAGAAGCTTCCCCTCTGGTCCTTACTCTTTACTCTGTGCCCGAGCGCCGCGCGAGCGTTACATGTAATGCTCGTAGTGCCGTCCACTCGTAGAATTCGTGTTACATTACACGGTGGATTACATTACACGTTACACTCGTCTAGACCCGGCTTTATGCTCCGGCTAAGAAAATACGTCACGAACTCGCTAACTATCCATCTTGTAAGCCCTCTTACACCATATTGTTGAGAAATGCGAAGAATAATAAATGTTTTAATGTGTATTTAAATATAATAACACCATTCTAAAATTTAAGCTCAATTAGGTTCATTAACGAAGAATAGGTTTGATAGCTGTACTGAGTCCCATAGTCACGTGAGCAATCTTCGAAAGAATATACACGACAAATGAAAGTTTAACAATCACTGCCATATTTGTAACGGGTAAAGATATAATAAAATTCATCCGATCTTCACTCGCGCGGGGAAACATCAAATCTCGGCCTACAGCGATCTTAGCCCTGTTTGGATCAGTTTTATCTGTCTATAACTCCATAAAACTTAGTATTCAGACAAAATAATAACAATAAAAGCTATATTCTCGCCAAAAATCACAAAAAAAAATGATAGTGAAAGACCGGATCGATAAAAAAAAACATAAATTATCTTGTTTTTTAAAATGCCGCGCAGCACACGTCCTACTTCCCGGAGCAAATGGCGGGAACCTGGGGGTCGGGGCAGAATGAAATGGTTGCGTCTTGTATTGCTAGCATTTCAAAATATGTATAGCATGATTCGTCGGAAATTCGATTCTTACGGTCTTGCCCCATCACCAATCTTACCCCAACGCACTTTAAAACTTTTTCAACTATTTTATGCTACAATTAAATATACTAAACACTATAATATGTACCTAGTATATTTAACAATATATATATATATTATTAAACATATATTTTGACGAGTATTTTGACAAGTATTTACAAAGCTAGATCGCGCTCGCCCCGACTGCGACTGCGCTGTATCTCGGGTCTCGGGGTGCCTCGCGGTTGTAGGTAATTATTTCACGCACATAGCAAGAGTGACAGAGCCCTGCTACAAACCATAATATAGCTGCAGCGTAGCTCTACTACTTATAAACTCATACAAATGTATCGTGCTTTAGCGACGTCAAGTTCGTGGCGCCGGTGTAATTCGGTGGCGTGCGGTTTCGCATGGTGCGGCGAGTGTTGGCGCGAGGCGGGCGCGCGCTGCCTCGCCTGCGACCCCGTACTTACGCGCCTCAGTGACCTCGACTCGCTCAGCGACGATCAGCCAACGGCATACTGACGCAAAGAACACCTCGGCAGCATCCAAACGTGTTTGTTCACGTTATCAACAAGTCCTTGCATCACCAAGAGCGTATTTGGGACTTTGTTTTCGGCTGTATTTATAATTTGCCAGCTGTAAACTCCATCATCATATCAATTTTAACTTGTGTCATTCTCAAATGTCTCTAAATAAATAAACATCTGATACTTTTTGTCTTTTATTATAACTAAAACAAAACCTAAGAATAATTGAAACGCTTAAATAATGAAGGTTTATTTATGCTACAATTGGTTCTTTTAACCTACCGGAAATATGTAGATCTTTGTTTATTCGTCGCGTAGATGCCAATTTTAAGACAGCACCCTGTCCCGAGCTTTTTATAGAACAAGGATGCATTCAGCACCTAATTGTAAGTGTCGGAATAAGATATAGTAAGATGCAGTAAGGTGCTAAGGGCAACTCATCTGATAGAAGGATCTATCAGATGAGTTGCCCTTAGAGATTGAGTTGTCGCCCCTGGGATAAAATATCTAGTTATTAGTTCAAAGCGGAGCATCTTTTTCTACACTCACTATACGAAACATCAGGCCAGTGTAAAATAGCACAATGGAATATCTACCATAATACAGCTGTAAGGTGGCTAGAGCCACGGTAGACCATGTTAAAAGGTTTTCCCGTGTTAACAAGAGATAATCTCGCTAAGAGTTCACCTCATGGTAGGTAAGTGTTGCTGCTACAAATTAAGCGTTTTGCTACTTCCCCTTGTTTTTGATAAGTAGGCTTGCCAACCGGATTTTCCCGGACGACCCGCTTCTGGGTCAATTTTGGACAGTCCCGCCAAACCCCTTGCGGGACGCCTTTTGTCCTGCAAATCAGTGATTATATGATATTAGTATCTATCTCGTACCAACTACACCTTAACCGTAACTTCGATACTACTTTCAAATGCATCAGCAGAGAGAGTGTTTTCTCTCTGTAGAAATGCATAGACAGACAGCAGAAATAAGCTGTTTGTTGACCAAAGGCTGAACTATAAATTAACATTAATTTTGATCAAAAATGTATTGAATTTTATAACCAATGTGTTTTTTCTTCTAACCAATTTGTATGTGGTGTGTTGTGTCCGCGTAATATACCCAAGTCCTGGATGTCGAGCTGGGTAATCCCGGAAATGCCTTTTTTGGAGTTGGCTAGTGGTAAGTGTCTACTGCAGTGGATGTACATACAACCAACTACAAATAAAGAAGGTTATACTCGTACGTGTGCTATCATCACCTCTGAGGACTAAAAATAATTAATTTCGAAATCAAAAATCAATAATTAATAAATTAATTGTTAATTTTTTATTAGTACCTAATAGTACTTTTTTGACAACAAAATCATTAAATTCTTCTCCTACTGTCGCCGAATCATTGCTCAAACAAAATTTAAGGCTTGTTCAAATACTTTTAAATTCCATAGAGTACTGCCAAAAGATATCGTTAAATATTTTAAAACTATTGATGTTAAGAAAACGGCAGACTTATGGGGAATTTCCGTTAAAGTTACTTTATCTATAATAGATATATTAGCACCTTATCTAGCCACTAAATTTAATATAAGCGTCGAATCTGGTGTGTTTCCTGATTTAATGAAACATAGTAAAGTCATACCTATATTTAAATCTGGTAGTACATTAGACCCCGCCAATTTTAGACCAATTTCTGTACTACCAACATTAAGTAAAATTTTTGAAAAAAATATTTTAGATCAGATGTTAAGTTTCTTTAATATTAATAAATTGCTACATAAAAATCAATTTGGTTTTACAAGGGGCCGCTCGACAACTGACGCTGGAGTTGAGCTTATTAAACATATTTTTTGTGCATGGGAGAATTCAGAGGATGCTTTGGGTATATTTTGTGACCTTTCCAAGGCCTTAGACTGTGTTCACCATGAGACATTAATCAGGAAGCTACAGTACTATGCTGTCAAGAACACAGCGCTTAAACTTATTATTTCATATTTAAGAAATAGAAAACAGAAGGTTATTATCAATGGTAAAAGTTCTTCCGGGTCACCTGTACTAATGGGTGTTCCTCAGGGCTTGATTCTTGGCCCATTCCTGTTTTTGGTGTATATTAATGACATATTAATGACTTACCTCACCTTGTAGGGGATAGTCATGATATAGTATTATTTGCTGATGATACTTCCTTGATTTTTAAACTTAAACGTCAATCATTTAAATGTGACGAAGTGAATAATGCTATATCAAAATTAGTGCATTGGTTTAACGTTAATAATCTGCATTTGAACGGAAATAAAACTAATTGTGTTAAATTTACAACAACGAATGTTAAAAATCTGAATACCAATGTGTTTTTAAATGGGGAGGAATTGAGCCCTGTTGTATCCACTGTTTTTCTTGGCATCACTCTTGACGCAAAGCTCCTGTGGGGCCCCCGTATATCCAAATTAGCAAGCAGACTAAGTTCTGCAGGCTATGCTGTAAAATAGATTAGAGGTCTCACTAGTGTCGAGACAGCTAGATTAGTTTATTTTAGTTATTTCCATAGCATAATGTCTTATGGGATTTTGCTATGGGGAATGCGGCTGATTCAGAAACTAGTTTTGTTTTACAGAAGAGGGCCATTAGAGCTATTTACAATCTAAAACCGAGAGAGTCTCTTAGAGATAAATTTAAAGAAATTAATATATTAACTTTGGCCTCTCAGTATATTTACGAAAATTTAATGTATATTCACAAAAACAAAGATAGTTTTAGTAAAAAAAGTGATATACATTCTGTAAACACTAGGAACAAACACAAGCTAGTGATGCCAGTTTCTCGACTCCACAGAGTCAGTAATTCATTCTTGGGGCAATGTATACGCTATTACAACAAGGTCCCGGAAAGTGTACAGGTTCTCTCTATTACCAAGTTTAAATGAACTGAAAGTGTATAAAAAGGGTTATTATAGTATAAATGAATACATGGTTGATGATAACCCCTGGGAATGAGGTGGTCGCTTCCAAGCAGTTTCTAAAATAAATTTTGTAAATAGTTCGTAATAATATATATTGTAAAATTTATTTTAAAAAAAAGTCCCGCTGGGTTTTTGCTGGTTCTTCCCAGGACAGAGGGTTTTTTTCGAACCAGTGGTAAAGTAAAAAATGACTTTCAATAAGAATTACACATGTAATGTATATTGAATAAAAAAATATTATATTGTAATACATGTTGATAAAAAATATCCTACTTGTACTGGATTAATTTTTAGAATCTTATCTATATCTATTCTATACATATAATAAATCTGTAGGAAAGTCGTGTCTGTAATTCTAATATATTCTTGAAAAAACAAGTCCAGGGGACTAAATAAAGGGTTCTGAAGCCAAATTAGTGGTTTTTAGAATTTTTGTCTGTCTGTCTGTCTGTCTGTCTGTCTGTCTGTCTGTGTATTCCGGATTCACGCAAAAACTACTGAACCGATTTACATGAAATTTTGTATGTAGGTAGTGAGTAACCCGGGGCAACTTATAGACTACTTTTTATCCGATTACGAAACTTCAAAAAAGGAAGGTTAAGTATTTTATTTCCTTTAGATGTTAATTTTCTATTATATCTTGGTTGTAGGTGGGATGACGGGTGTTTTTAAATAAATACCATATTTGTAAATAAAGTTTAAAATATAGTTATAATGTTGGTAAAATAATTTGAAACTACACCGATTGGGTATTCAAAACACCGCCATCTATCATCAAATGGAAAAGTAGTATATTTTGCCTTCAGTTACTAATAAATGAAATAATATAAATAACTTTCATGTATATGATTAATAGATTAGATATTTAAAATTATTAAAAAACTCACGTCCAATTTTTAGTATTTTAGTTATTTTATTTTAAAAGTGTAATAATTTCAATAGATAATAGTGACGTCTATCAAAAATATGAAAATTGATAAGGTATTTATTGCAATTACTAATATACATGTAAAGTGATTAAAACTGGTATGTCTGCAATTGTTGCAAAATTTTCATTATCATGAAAGTTTTATTCAAGAGATTTTTATATATGTCGTGACCAGATCGTAGAATTGATCATAGGTATATCATAATATCGTAGTCTATCATTTCGTGAAGTGGTGTTGTCATTTCATTATATTTAACACTATTTGTTCACCACGTCATGATATAGCTTGACCAAATCAATGAATAGAAATCGTTTGGAGATATTAATAACTAAACACAACGTTGCTATTTCATAATATGACGATATCATTAAATCGTTTTTCACCGCTAGCGGCGCTGATAGCGTATTTTTTAACAGAAACAGAACTTTTAAGGGAATTGACATCACTTTATACCTTATTGATATTGATATAATAAATAAATGTTTGCTTCAATTGCTGATATTACTAGGTGGTATGGTTTTGGCTTTCATTCTTTCATCTAATATTAGCGCCACCTACTTACTTCTTAATAAACTAAAATGGCAAGTCATTGATAAAATGAAATAATACAATGCTACTGAATGTACGATGTAAATAATTGAATCATTAACATTACATTCATCCCGCGTGGTAATCAGCGCAGCTGACACTTTTTTAGCCAATACTCTGCGGCCTGTGTCCATTAGTAACATGTATGTAAGGTGCTAATTTTTAGTTTTCATAGGGCAATATATGCAGTTTTTGTTTCATTCGTGTTTTCGGGTATGTTACTTTTTGTTTTCACTCTACCGTAAATATTAAGGCTTGCAAAGATGAGTAGAACTCATTATCGTCTGCCTATCAAAAGTCCACTGAAATGAACATAGGCCTCCCCCATAAATTGTAGCATAAAAGTAACTGGATATTTGCTATAGTTGCCACGCTTGGTAGGCGAGTTGGCATCCGCAGCTCTTATTATTTTGATTTGTTGTCAAAAAGATGATGCAGCCCATCCCATCTCCAGTTTGTTTTCCTATGTCGCCTCTTACGACGGGACGATATGAGGTGGTGGATTTTCTTTCACCGCCACAACAGGGCGAAC